GCAGAGGATAGGAGTAGGTCTTGGGCTGAGCGCAGGGGTCTCGTCGGGACATACTTACATACATATGTTGGAGCAGCATTATGTAGGGATTTGTAAGCAAGCGCCAGAATTTTGAATTGGGCCCTATATCTAACTGGAAGCCAATGCAGGGACTGACAGAGCGTGGAGGCGTGGAAGGTGCGACCGGACAGGAAAATAAGCCTCGCAGCCGTATTGATTATAGATTACAGCGGTGCAAGCTGGGAACATGTAAGACCGGTGAGAAGGGGATTGCAATAGTCAAGGCGAGAGAGAACAACAGCATGAACCAGTACCTTAGCCGCGTCCGGCGTTAGATATGGGCGTATGCGCGCTATGTTCTTGAGTTGGAAGCGACAGGATTTGGCTATCGATTGAACATGGGGAGTAAAAGAGATCAGAATCAAAAAGAACTCCTAGGCAGCGAGCCTGGGAGGTAGAGGTGATAGTAGCGCCGTTGACTTGGATGGCGACAGACACGGGAGTAGCAGCACTTGAGGGAGGAAAAACTAGAAGTTCTGTTTTGGACAGGTTGAGTTTAAGGAAGTGAGCAGCCATCCAGCTGGAAATAGCAGAGAGGCAGTCAGAAACACGAGTCAAGGTGGGCGGAGAGAGATCAGGGGAGGACAGGTAGATTTGCGTGTCATCTGCATATAAATGGTATTGGACGCCAAAAGAGCTGATGAGCTTACCAAGGGAGGCAGTATAGATAGAGAACAGTAGGGGGTCGAGGACAGAACCTTGGGGGACGCCGACAGGGAGGGGTTGGGGAGATGAGGCAGAGCCAGAGAAAGAAACACTGAAGGAGCGCTGGGAGAGGTAGGAGGAGCACCAGGAGAGAGCAGAATCCCGTAGACCAAAGTTACGGAGAATGTGAAGAAGCTGTTGATGATCAACAGTGTCAAAGGCGGCAGAGAGATCAAGGAGGATTAGGATAGAGTATTGGCCGCGAGATTTAGCAGCAATTAAATCGTTGGATACTTTGGTCACAGCAGTTTCGACAGAGTGACCAGCGCGGAATCCAGACTGAAGGGGGTCAAGCAGAGAGTTGGATTCAAGAAAGTCTGTCAATCTGGCGTAGACAACTCTCTCGAGGATCTTGGAGGCAAATGGCAGTAGTGAGATAGGGCGGTAGTTGGATGGGGAGTTGGGATCGAGGTTGGGCTTTTTCAGAATTGGGGTTACAGTTGCATGTTTGAAGGCAGAGGGAAATGTGCCAGAGGAAAGGGAGAGATTGAAAATGTTAGCGAAAGGAAGAGCAAGAGAGGGAGAGAAAGTGCGGATGAGATGCGAGGGAATAGGATCGAGGGAGCAGGTGGTGGGGCGGGAGGACAGGAGCAGAGCAGAAACCTCTTGTGCTGTAGCAGGTGCAAATGAGCTTAGGATGACAGGGGGAGTGGGGTTGGGTGATGTATTGATACTGGTCGGAGAAAGATTAGAGATCTCTTTCCTGATTGTAGAGATCTTCTCAGTGAAATGAGATGCAAAGTTTGTGGCGGACAAGGTGGTGGAAGGAGGGGGAGTCACAGGGCGAAGAAGTGCATCAAAAGTGTGAAACAGGTGTTTGGGTTGGTGGGACAGTGTGCTTATGAGGGTGTTGAAGTAGCTTACTTTTGCAGAGGAAAGAGCCACGCTGTAGGAGCGCAGCATAAATTTATAGTGGACAAAGTCAGATGCAAAGTGAGACTTTCTCCAGCAGCGTTCAGCAGTTCTGGAACATTTTTGGAGGTAACGGGTCAGCATGGTGTGCCAGGGTTGTAGTTGGGGGCGCTTGCTGCGTTTAACTGTAGGAGGTGCCATGATGTCAAGTTGAGAGGAGAGAGTGGAGTTGTAGAGTGAGGTTGCAGAGTTAGGGCAGTTGTGATTTGAGATGGGTAAAAGGAGTGTTTGGAGTTTAGTGGAGAAGTGCTGGAGATCAAGAGAGTTGAGGTTTCTGCGAGGTTGGAGAGTGGACGGTGGTGAGATTTTGGTATGGGGTATGCAGATGTTAAATGTTAGCAGATGGTGGTCAGACAAAGGAAATGGAGCAGTGGCGAGATCAGAGGTAGTACAGAGATTGGTGAAGATGAGGTCAAGAGTGTTTCCTGCAGTGTGAGTTGCTGAAGAAGAAATCTGTGTGAGTCCAAAGGAGGAGGTTACAGAGAGCAGACGAGAGGCATCAGGGCAATTGAGCTTGTTGATGGGGATATTGAAGTCCCCAAGTATGAGAGAAGGAGTGCTAGAGGAAAGAAAGTGGGGTAACCAGGAGGAAAAGTGTTCAATGAATAGTTTAGGGTGACCGGGGGGGCGATAGATGATGGCAATTCTTAAAGGAGTGGGCTTAAAAAGGCGTACAGTGCGAACTTCAAAGGAAGTAAAGGATAGGGCAGGGGCAGGGAGGATAGGTTGAAAGGTACATTGAGGGGAGAGAAGGATGCCGACACCACCTCCTTTACAGTCAAGTCTAGGAGTATGGGAGAACTGTAGACCACCGAAACATAAAGAAGCAGGAGTATGTATATATATATATATATATATATATATATATATATATATATATATATATATATATATATACACACATATATATATATATACACACATATATATATATATATACATACATATATATATATACATACATATATATATATACATACATATATATATACATATATATATATATATATATATATATACATACACACACACACACACACACACACAAATCCACACACTGACAATCATGCAGATTCACTGATACAAACACTGGCACACATACAGATGCACAGATAAAAACACTGATACAGATTCACAGACCGATACAAACATTGGAAAGCGAAATCAATTATTGGTTGGGATTTGTTATAAACCACCTAATGTTAATATAGATGAGGAGCAACAGTTGTTTGAACAAATTGAGAAAGCTGCAAATCCAGTAACAACATTATTGGAGATTTTAATTACCCGGACATAAATTGGGACAGAGGGACTAGCAGTTTAGCAAATTAAATTAAGTTTTTGAACTTGTTAAATGACACCATGTCACAACTTGTACAAGCACCAACTAAAAAGGACGCTTGTCTGGACATGGTTCTAACAAAACGTTGATCTTTTGACCAACATTTAAGTAGGTGAGCACTTAGGTAATAGTTATCACAATAAAGGGTCCTTTGAAATAAACTCCCCAAAAAGCACATGAAATATACTAAAACAAATTTTAAAAAGACCAATTTCAATAAGTTAAGGGCAGCTTTACAATGTATTGACTAACATAAACTCTTCAGTGAAAAGAACACTGAGGATAAAATGAATATCTTAAAAAATATATATATATATATATATATATATATATATATATTTATATTAGAAACGTACATTTCTCAGTATGTACCATTCGGTATTAATAAAATAAACAAATTGAAACCAATGTGCCTTAATGGGAAAGTGAATTAAGAAATTAAAATTAAGAGGCCATTCAAAGCCTTTAAAATCAGACAAATCAGAGGCATCCTATAAAAGATATAAGGAAGCCAATAATGTGTGCAAAAAGGCGATTATATCCGTTACACTTCAAAATGAAAAGAGGGGTGGGGTTGACTGCTGAACAGAGAGGACGCTAACCTTAGCAGCATCTGAAGAGATCAACAAACAAAGCAGATTTTCACTGCTCAAACGGCGACCAATTGAGACAACCACCAAACGTGAGGTGACACAGAGGAACAAAATAATACCACCCAAGCGACATTACGAGCATTACTCACTAGACAAGCTTCAGAGGCCTACACGCGTGGAAGGCACAGGATGGCCGACAACACCACGGACAACAAAGATTGGGCAGCAGCCTTCCAGGCCAAATTCAACGATGTAGGCGATTCTGGGAGCATCTGGAGAGCAAGCGACACGAGTTTGGCAGTCGCTTGTGTCTGCCATTTTGGAGGCCCTCACCTCCGGTTAGTTGGTTTCGGCAAGTTTTATTTTTAATCTTTTTCTTCTGGCTTGAAAGGAGATTGTTTGCGGATCTTTCTTTAGTGCCTTTTTTGAGCATTCAATTCTGAGACAGTCAACTACATAAGGAATCATGATATATTCCTTACAGGGGTAGTTCGTACAGTAAGAAACTCAACATTCTTTGAGAGGAGAGTCCAATGGTCGTTAATTTGCAAAAAGATGAAAAACCAATGTGCAATATTTTACTGCAATATTTTTTTTTTTTTTTTGAGGAATGAGGAAAAGAAAATAGTCCTTTATATCAAAGGTTATCCTCGCCTTATACACCGACTAGCTACAGCATTGAAACCACTGACAGGTAAGGTGAATAACATTGATTATATTGTCACAATGGCACCTGTCAAGGGCTGTCAGTGCCCCTCTCCCTCCCACCCCCCATCCCATGTTGCCGGCGGGTGAGACCTAATGTGCATGCGTGTGCATTAGACCTCCCCATAAGAAAGCAATGCTTTCCTATGGGGATTTCGGCGACGCTGGAGGTCCTCATGCATAGCCTGAGGGCGTACAGCATCATTTATAACACGTAAGTCCCTCTAAGGGCTGTCTATCAGACTTAACCCTGTAAGGAAATTATTTAAGTTTATAAAAACTGCAATAATTACACTTACAGGGTTAAGGGTGGTGGGAGTTGGCACCTAGACCACTCCACTGGGCAGAAATGGTCTGGGTGCCTGGAGTTTTCTGTTAAGTATCAAGTGAACAGCAAGTTCTTGAATTTCATGTTTTGGAAGCAGAAAAAAAACAGGCAAGCGAACAGATCTCAGTAACTTTGACAAGGGCCAAACAGTGATGGCTAGAAAACAGGGTTAAAGCACCTCCAAAACATCAACTCTTGTGGGACATTACTGGTATGCAATGGTTAGTAACTGCCAAAAGTGGTGCAAAGAAGGACAACCTGTGAACCAGCGTCAGTGTCATATCAGAGCCGTTATGGCACCATGATATTAAGCAGGTGGTTTTAATGTAGTGGTTAATTTGGGTAGAAGAAATGGTTTCCATTCTATAAAGTATTTGTTCGATAAATTTGTTCACTAAATTCAGGTCCACAATGGGACAAAAGGTTTGATTACAGGTTCTTAACAGAAAAGGCCTGCAATAGATTCCACAAAATTTCTCAGAGTAGGTTAGCTCTTTTCTATTACCGCTTTTAAGTTTTAAGGAAACGACTGACTGCTTTCCACAATTATTATTGTATGTTTGAAGACTGAACTTCTGGAAAAAAAAAAAATATCATATCAGTATTATAATATATCATACTGATGGAAAGAGTGGAAACTCCATCTGTATTTAAATCCTGCATGAGTGAAGGATTATTTAAGCTGTAGTACTTTGCACTGAAAGGTATTTCATAATAAGTCCAAAAGCAGGGACGTCCTGCACATTAAATCAAATGCAGGGCATGCTCTTTGCTTTTCTCATATCGTACGTCTCGGTAAAACATAGACAACATATATACACACACACACACACACATATTATGTGCCATCTCAAATTCTATAACCGTGTCCAAAGAATGACGCAAAAGTACCGCCAAAACCCTCTTATTTTTTGTGTTCTTTGGCAGGTACTCTAACATGGGGGAATTTAAGCAATCATTGTTTGGGATAGAGTAGCTCTACTGACAGTATGGTAAATAAGTAATATTGCTCTGTTGTAAAAAAATTCAGTGGAGCAGTATGACTAATAGAAAACATCCAGCCATTGCATTGGATATTAACACAAGTAAAGCGCACAGGCATACCAACCGCTGATCATTTAGTTTCAAGCACATTTTCATAGCAATACTTTATCCACTATAAGATTTTAGAGGCAATGTATGAATAAATTCAAACACTGATGCAATCTAAACTACTGGAAAAGATAGATAACTTTATAATGTACCCACAGTTAAATGATAAAAGAAAGTATACAGGGGCGTGGCTAACTGCTGAGCAGGATGGCTGCATTGTAATGGGATTCCAGCATGGTCAAAATTTAGTAGGCTGAAATCTCCACATTGCATATGCTAATTAGTATCTGATTACAAACAGTTGGAGGAGTCATCTGTATACTGAGCATGTGTGGAAGTGGATAGTAAATTCCTTTGTCTTCAACAAGCCATGTGGTCTGCCCACATAAGGTGATCCTGAATATCCTGTGTGCTGATTGGTCTGAGGAATATAGGAGGGGTTATACTGTATGGAAGGGGATATGCTGCCAACAAAAGGCCTCTGCACCATGCTTTCTTCTCACAGAAATTTTTGGAACAGGAGTTCATCTGAGACCCGATCGGTACGTGAATAAAGGCCTCTTACTTCCTGAATACCTGTGTCCATATCTCTGTGTGACTCCTGCGGTTTGTTCCGGTTATTCCTCCGGTAACAGCATAGTTCCTTGCTCTGGCACATGAGCTCACAATCCGCTGCAATCCTAGCATCCAGAACCACTATACAACCAACAAACACCAAATAT